CTCTTTTGGTTTTCTCCGCGATGGCAATAGTCTAGGATGATGTTGTGGGCGGAGAGAGGACGCTGTCTAAAATGTGAACAGCCCAGCCGACGGCGCCGGCGCTGCTGCTGTGCTTGGAAAATAAGCATGGGATGCGGTCCCCTACATTATTGTGCTTTATTTCTGCAACGAGGATGGGTTGGGTTGGTTGATTTACATGTTTCTTTTTACGTATATTTTCATTTTTATTTTGCAATTTTTTTGTCTTTGTTGGTTGTTTGGCGTTTGTACGGCGTTTTGGAGCCCTACTGCGTGCTTTGATCTTGTGTGCGTGCGAGAGACTCTCGAAGAGAACCAAACCATCCCCTGCAATGATTCCGTTCGCTTCGAGCTCGTTTGTCCGTACTGGCGCGCACTTTATGCTGTTGTCGCGTTCGGCTGTGTCCCTTGACCACAGGCCTTTCTTTGTGGTGCGCTCGCAGACGCTCATCGTCTCCTCGCCTAACGCCAACACATGATGATTGATGATTGGCGTTATGTAATAAGCATGCTGTCATCATTCCAAGCAGCAGGACCTACTCAGCAGAGCCAGCAATCATCCGACTTGGATAATATTGCCTCCTTCCCGATCTCCCTGTAATCTATTTGGCGTGTCCAACACGGACTGACCGAGATTTTTTATCAAGCTTCCTCTTTTCACCGTTCGCTGAACGACAAGAGCAAGAATGAAAACCGTCCGTGATGCTACGTGCGTGCGTGTTTTGTTGGAATTGGGAAGCAGGCCGAGCCTTGTCCCTCGTGCCGCTGGGTTGGCCCCGTCAGATCATCCCCAGGTCACCGGCGAACAACGTTTATTACGTGTTGTCCCAGCAGCACATACAGGACACCAAGTGACGATGATGCAAACACGTTGAGTTGGGATGTCATAAGCACGCATGGCATGTATGCACACGCATGATGGTGATAGACGACGAACGTATATCGAGAAACCCGAGGCGGTACAACTACTCCCTGACCGTGTGGCCATCGCAAGATGGAGAATCAATCCCTCTGACAAAAAAAAAAAAAAAACGAAACCAAGACCACACACGACTGACTACAAGAGGAGCGCCTTCGCGCGATCAATAAGTTAACGAGGAAATAGAACAGGGAGGGGGGACGCAGACCCTAGAGTATTCCCTACCCCTAACCCTAACCCAACTTCCCCGATTTTATGCTTTATCCAACAAGTTCGCAAAATTCGCAAATCCCTGTGAAGGCTACTGCTACAAAAAAAATGGACAGATATACCTCCAAGCTCTTGTTTGATCGTTCGCGTGCGCGAGAGCACTGTCTTTCCGCGGCAGCGGCAGACAGCTCAAGGCTGCGCTTCGACATTAACCAAAATAAGACCCCAGCCGCTTGAACGTCCACCTTGCGGGCTCGGCGAACGAGCGCATTCCCTGCGGTCTCCGGTAACACTTACGCATAGATAGCTCAGAGAAAACAGAACAAAAGAAACACAAAAACAATCCCCAGCCCACCACAACAAAATCGACCGCGTTCAGAGCGCCAACACGCTCCTCAAAAACAACCCGCACCGCAGCGAACGGCAAATCAGTTGTTAGGCGGAGTGGTACTCCTTGAAGGCCCCGTTCTGTGCACCGGAGTTGATTATCAACCCCTTGGCTGTTGCCGGTCGCGCCTCCACCCTCTCGCGCCACGCCGCCACGTTCGAGTAGGTGGACATCTCAAGCGTGTCGTAAGCCTCGTAGAAAATTTCCAAGCACCTGCGCGTGGATTAGCGGTCGGACGGGAACGCGCGCCGGTGGCGTGGCGTGGGGTGACTGACGCAAGGAAGGATATATAGGAAATATGGTCTCGTTTAATATAGTATTTGGTACAGCGTTTGGGCGGGGGGGGGGATGTCGTGTCCTCTCGAGAAAAAAAAAAGAAGTGCCACATGGGCGAGGAGCGGGGTTTCGTGGTTTTTAACAGTCAGTAGTCCCCCCTTCATGAAAAAAGCCGAACCACCCGTTTAACTGCCCTGGTGAAAATGCCAACCGTTCCCGTTGCATGCGACTGTTCTGCTTCTCTTGGGAAGGCGGTAGTCCACCGGGGAGCAGGGCGATTCTCCCCCCGCGCGTCTTGAAGACCTAACTCTCTTGCCTTCGCTGCTTCTCGCGCTGGTCTGCAATTCAAGCCCAATCCCCCCCCCCCCCCGTAAGAAAACCAAGCCCGACCGCTTATCTGAAAAACCGTGATACTCGATGAAAAAGGAACAGCGCGTTTTCGTTTTTGCTACACGTGGCACTGAGTCTTGAGAACTTTCATATCATGACATACATCCCCCTGGGTTGAGCACCTTCTCGACTGGGTAATCCTCCTTCCATGGTACCAGATATTCTGGATAAAATCTGTACATAATTTACCGAAGAAAAAAACAGAGGTCTAACGTGCACAATTCGCTTGTGTCGCCTGTGTGTTGGAATACAACGATATCTCTCTCTAACTAATTCTGGATGTGGATCATCGGCAATCGCCACCCACGTCAGTACCGCACTCCACATGCCGTTAGCCGCACAGCCCCAACACCGAGGGAACACAACACGAGGGGAGAGCTCACCGGACCCACGGAAGCCATGCCATGTCCGCGATGGAGTACTCCTCGCCGCACAAGAAACTCTTCCCCTCGAGCTGCTTGTCCAGCACGTCAAGCGCGCGCTGCACCTCAGTCGAGTACCTTTCGGGTTTCGTCCCCACGCGATAGACAGAGGAAGAAGAGGGAGAGGGAGGGAGGGAGGGAGGGAGGGAGAAGGAGGAGAGCGCCAGGCCACAAAAGCCCCAGAAAAAAACATATTAGAATATTTACCGCAACCCATGGCACATACACATGGCACACACACATGCGAACGAATAAGGCCCATGAGGCTGGTCTCAAAACGTCGCCAAGGACGTGCAAGCACATCATACGCACATGCGCAGCGAACCCGTCGTGCCGTTTGCCCAATTTCCAACGAGCTAACGTTATTGTTACCAGTGATCGCTTGAGGGTTCGAGCCACCCTGGGGCGCAGCCCGCATGTTGGCCTCAGGCATGGTTAAGCCCGAACAAAAAAAGTAAATTTCGAGGAGTGAGTGGTTGTGTGTGTGTTGAAACGTATCAATGCCTTCCGGAGGGCATTTTCACGTACCGTCGCCATTGGGTCAAAAGACAAAAGCACGTTCAAGATTTTCAGAAAACTACATAGAAACACAGAAAGATGATAAAACCCGTTCGAGAGAGTAGCATCACAGCAGTCGAAGAGGACGTCTCGAAGTCTTTACAGTAGTGGGTGTAAGAAAAACATTTTCGTTGCTTCCTGTTTGGAGTTGAGAATCCGTGGGCGTGCTGTCTCAACAGTTCGAGAGGGATTGGTACGGTACGGCGCTACACTGTCGTTCTCGCTTAATCCAAATACGGGGCAGCCGGGTACGATGTTCGAGCCATCCCGTAAACGCGCTCCAAAGAAACAGCTCGTCCAACAACGTGCACGCGCGAATAAGACTTCCACTCGCATACACAGCCATCGCCAAGAAACGCATAGCAATAGGTGGGGAAACGTACGCTAATTTTTTTCACCTGTTGACGGCGTAGTCGAGCTTGACAGGCGCATATCTCGTGAAGTGGCCGAACTGTCCAAAGTACGGAGCCTCGCCGACCTAACAACATTCCACGCGGACAACGGTGTCACCAAAGGCACGCAAAGCCGCCGAGGGTGCGCGGGAAAGAAGGGAGGGCAAGACGGAAGGTGGACTCAGGCTCGCAAGCCGCGCGACACACACTCAAGACGCTAACGCAGCCGCAGCGCCAGCAGAGCTTCGATGCCTTGGTAGCCTGGCCTCGTGGAAAAGATTTGCCGCAGCAGTGCAGACAAGCTGGGGGTGCGCGGAAGGCGTGTTTGGCCACGCACGGGATATGGACCATGGATAGATAGGACAAGACCGCCGTTGTTTTTTGAGTGTAGGCTCCTCCCCCAGGCAAGCCTTCCCGACACGTGCAGAACAGACGCGTACACGAAGGACAACTTCCAATGAACCAGCCAATCAAGCACCGACAACCGAAATACAACCGCCACCAACCGCAGACAAAAAACGGTAAAAAAACACCGCCGCTGCTGTTGTCACCAACATCAGAAAGACAGACAACTTAAACAAACGCTGACGACGGGAGGCAAGCATCGAGAACCGCGGGAAAATAACCCACGGAAAAAATATCACTACTGCCGTTGGGACCACCAACATCAGAAAGACAGCCCGAAACTGAAAACGCCGACGACGGATGGCCAAAAAAACATAGGACCGCGGGAAAATACCACGGGAAAACCATCGCCCGGCTGTCGTCACCAACACCAGCAACTTGCCACCAACACCAGCGAGAGAAAGACAACCAACACAACAAAACGACGCCCACGATGGATGGCAAAACCAACGCTAAATAAGCCACACAACAAACGGGACTCACGTTGAAGAAGAGCCAGTTGAGACACTCCGCCTTCGCCGCCGGGTCTGTCGGGAGGAACTTGCCGCTTCGCTCGGCGAGGTACAAGAGAATGTTACCGGTCTCGAAGAGGTGAAGGGGCTGGCGGAACGGGGACGAAGAAAAAATACGTTTTTTTTTGCCGCAAATATGCAGGGGGGGGGCGGGAAGAACAAACGAGACGGAGAATAATGTTGGTGTAGTGGCAGTGACAAAATCACCAAGTGCACGACGACGAAAACAAATCGCGGCAACAGCGTCAAGGAGACGAATTAACAACGGTATCTGCAGCGTGGCCAAAACGAGCCAATGGTGGGCCGAGTCAAGAGTTTCAAGACCCGCCGCGCTGCCGTAACCGCCTAAATCGACACACACGACAAGAGGAGGCACGGCGTGCGACAAACGCGCCCGTCAGCACAAACCAAAGCATCCAGAGAGACAGAGAGAGAGCGGGAGAAAGAGAGAAAGAGAGAAAGAGAGAAGAGACAGAAAGAGAGAGATAGAACAGACAGAGACAGAGAGACAGAGAGACAGAGAGACAGAGAGACAGAGAGACAGACAGACAGACAGAGAGACAGAGACAGACGAGACAAAGAGAGACAAAGAGACAGAGCGAGACAGAGAGAAAGAGAGAGAGCAACTGCAGTGACGCCATCCCGCAACCGCAACACGCCCTCACACCTTGCCGCCCGGTGCGTCGTTGTCCACCAGGGCCGGGATCTTGGAGTTGGGGTTGACCTTGACGAAGCCAGACGTGAACTGGTCCCCCTGCCGAGCGAAGGGCGGCGGACACCGGCGAACCCAGGGTTACGCGAGCGCAAGACGTCGCGAACGCGTAGTGGAAACGACGATCAATAGGGGGACCAGACATGATCGATTTTCTCGGTCTTGCAAGGTTTAGGTTCCGCGTGCAGCGGAAAAGGGGCCTGCCATATATATGCCTCGTGTCACACACCCGGTTTGGTTGAAATCCTTCGGAGGTCTTTCGGTATTCCAATCCCTACGCTGCTGTGTGTGGGACCGTGGCATCAGTAGTTCGAACTCATCAAATGTGCTTTGAGCCGCGGAAAATTCATCTCAGGGGTTGTAGTCGAAGTCGAACAATTAGAACCTAGAGGTTGTGGCGGGTACATAACACAACCGTTGTTAGGTGCACCGGCGCCAATTTACTGCAAGGACCCTCGCATGCGCGTATTACCTCGCTTCTTGGCCGCAGAAACCACCCGCTCTCGCCTACGTGGGTACGCTTCGCATAATCGAAACCTAAACAACAACAACAACAACAACAACAACAAACGACAACGACAACAAACGACAACGACAAACACCAACCAACATCAACACCAACAACGACGCGGACACGAAACGATGGGGAGGGAAGAAGTCTTATATACTCCTCACCGACATGATGTTTGTGTACCAAGCGTCGTACTTGAGCCCCATCTCTTCCAGCGCGATGGTGACCTTCTGCCCGTTCGGCGTGGCCATCGAGTACAGCTGTAGGGGGTGGGTGCCGACTTCCAGCTCCTTGACCGTCCTAGCCCCTGCCGTTGGCTTGTTCATCTGCAGCGGTCACCAGCAAGGGTGATTCGAAAGGCAGCCGAAACTCGTTGATTGGGGGTCTGAATAGTCTAGAACAAACAGCACACAGATGTAGCTGCCTGCTGCTGCAGAGTTTCGAGAAGAGAAAAACTGCGGACGAGGGCCGAAATCTCGAGTGACTGAGAAACAAAAGGGGGGAGGGGGATGAGGCAGGCGGGCTCACTCTTGTCCCGATCGTGCGGCATACTATCCGTATCGTGGTGACTTAACACATGAACGCTCATCTGTGAAGACGGCCATGACGAAACGTGAGAACGACGGTATGTGCACCAGCGAGACGATAACTCCTCCAAAAAAAAATCGGTTGGTTGTTTCGAGAAGAAGCGCCAGCAGAATTCGGGCGAGGAGGACCTCCCCGCGCTAGGAGTCGCGGTGTGTGCCCGTCAGTATATCTCAATGTTCATGCTCCTCATCGCACGGAACGCGGAACGGCACCATCCGCAGTGTTTTAGCAAACTCGTGGCAGGAACATGACCCAGCAGCAGCAGCAGCAGCAGCAGCAGCAGCTGTGTTTTTCAACGGCTACGTGCAGCAAATGCTTTGTAGGGCAATTACACCGCCCATGGCCCATAGTATCCAGACCCCGGCTTGTCCACACAACTAAATGGTGCCTGGCTGATGTAGGGCAATCACATCGTCCACGACGCGCCACATCCCGACACCGCTACAATAAGGCATCCACCCAAGGAAAAAAGAGGCCTTGCAGCTACTCCGTGAGGCGTGGAGGGGCCAGGCCGCAAAGGGTAGGGCGGCGGTAATGTATGCTATCTTGTCACATCGAAACGTGAAGCGAGCGAACAGAACCAAGGTCCTTGTATGTAACTACTGCTGTAGCAACTCACCCCGCTGAACTTGCCACCGGGCTTCAATTTGAGGAGGATTTTCTCCACCACCTTCGGCCCTGCGAGTCCAACCACAAGGCCGGCAGTCGCAAGCCCTGCCCCTACGGCGACAGACACAGTTTTCGCCGACCCAGAATCAGACATGGTTCTTCGTCCTGCTGTGTCCTTCCTGTTGTTCCCTGCGGCGTCGGAAGATAACGAAAGTGCGGCGGGACAAATCGGGGCGTTGTGATGCTTCCGTCTTCCGTCTCAAACAAACGACCCGGGATATGTACCGCACAGCTCGTGTGTTAGCAGGAGAACGTAGGGAGAGAGCCTCTCATGCGAACACCACTGCCAAGTACAAAAAGGGCTGCTCTGCAACTAATGACTCTCCCCCTACGAGAGTCTGGCATATACCGCCACTTGCCACACATGCAACTGCTTGGAGTACTTTGCTCGCGTGCTCTATCGCGCCCACATGCGGGAAAACTGAAAACTGCAGGGAGACTTCGTGTTGTAATACGGATCATGCACGCACGCCGGCGAGACGGGGGGGCGTATCAAGTTTCTTATTCCCTTTCTCCAAGAAATGCCATATCCATTGATACTCCCGCTTCTGCTTCGAAGCAGGCCTGCACTAGGGCAAACGGTCATGACGCATGCTCCTATTCAACAAGGGTCTAATGGATAGAGGGCGACATTGACCATTTTTTTTCGCCAACCACGCCGACATATAGTCTCGCCACTCCAACTGCTACACACGTTGCCAGTGCATTTCCAACATGTTATCCGATCGCTACATCAACCAACCTTGTTGTTGTTCTCGTTGTTGTTCTCGTTGCTGTTCGTACTGGGTGTGAGATAGGGCGTGGTATGTGACAGCAGTGTTGACAGCTGACGGGTCCGGACACACACAGCGCCGACAGTGGGGGAGACGGTGGTAAGAAGAGGGGTTAGCACTGCTTGCAAAGCCGCAAAAAAATGCAAAATGACGAGGGGGGGGGGGGGCGTTGCGGCACAACTTCTGCATCGCACATGACCGTACCTACATACACAGTCCCAATTTGCCTCGTCGCCTCGTCTCTCGTCTCGCTGTGCCACAGCGACAGGAATCAAGGCGTATCAATGAGAGTGGTGGCTTCGGCTTTCGTTTTGCTGCTCGCTAGCGTCCAGTCTTTGCATGTTTCCGTTCCGCCCCGGGCGAGGAGGGGAGCTCCTTCATCACCGCTGCTACTGCGATGTCGGCTGATCTCTAACCATCAGCACCTCAGCAGCAACACCAGAGTGCTGGCCTCTCCCAGCGGTGAGGGTATTGGTGACTGCTGTTAGAGGAGAGAGGAACTCCTTGCGACGGCGGTGGGTTAGATCCCAGCTGCGTTAGGTGCTGCGAGCTGCGTACAGCACAGCAGCCGATCAGGTTCAACTTGATTTATTCTGTGTCCGTCGCAAAGCGCCACTGGCTTTACCTACAGCAGTACAGGATCTCTCGCTCGCTCTCCGCTCTCCCCCTGCAGGCTGGTCGCTCTAGTCCACGCTATTCGTGTGGTGTCCCTGGTTCCGAGTCTACGAACAACGAAATGCTGATTGTAGTTGCCCGAAGCGCTCTGCTCTGCTATGTTCGTCTTTCACGGGATGTATGCGTATCATTTCCTATGCAACACTTCGTGTTGAATCGGCCAAATCTACGGATCGGATGTAGACTATGCGTGCAGCAGGTACTCTGCGGCGGTGATCTATGCATACGTGGACTATTAACGCACATACACGCTGTCCAATCGAGACGATCGAACAAATCCCTTAACCGTCGGACCGTCCACAGCAGTAGTCATTTAGTGGAACAAAATCCCACGCGACCTTTGTTTTCGGATGCATTGGCCGACGCCCACAGGTATTAGTGTTTTCTCGGGGAGAAGAGAGAGCGAGATTAGGGTCTTCTATCCAGTTAGCCAAACTTAGTCAGCCAGGGCTGACTACGTCTATAGGTTTAATGCACAGCCCAATAAACCTATGTAAGAGAGCGGGCACCTCTGTCTGCATTTCTCCTGTTTCGTGCCACTCTTCGCTGTGTACCCTCCCCTACATACATGCACAAGTCAAAAACTGCTTTTGAGCGTTTAGGCGACCACAAACCCAAGTCTTTTGCCCAGGGGCCCGCGAGCTGATACTAGTAGATAGGGAGGGGTAATGAGCCGCGGGGTAGCCGACTTATTACCTTGGCAGTAGTCTATGTATCTCCGATGCTTTCGTACGGTGGCGGGTGCAGTCGATCATTTTGGATTTTGAATCCGAGTTTTCAACAGAAAAAAACGAAAGGCTACACCAGCACCGCAGGTCACACAAAATACCACACCCCCTGGACCATTTTCAAATGATCGGTTGCTCCACACCACAAAGAGTGGCGGTGCCGATAATGGTCATGTGGGAACCGTCTTGTCGAGATCTTTCCGACACCGTCTCGTTGGGTGTAGGCATCCTCTTCGACGTGGAGTAACTCGAGCTTTAAAAATCGGTATCTAATGTCACCTACGGTAGACGTCATACATACGTTGCCCCAACCGATTTGGGTTTTCCATGGTTTCTCTGTGCAGAGTGACGCAGCAGCACTTGTAAAGCTTTTCCCCGCGAGATGTGTTTATGTAATGTCTTGTGTGGCGGCTGATAGAGGACACGGGGCCAGAGGACCCATGGCACGGAAGCTGAGGTGGCGAGAGTCGGCAGACTGCATGCATGCGAGAAAAACCACCCGTCCCCCCCTAAAAAAGGCCTTTTGGCACTGGTTTGTTTCCAGGTGACCCATCCCCACACACCGAAGCAGCAGCATTGGTAATGGCATCCGCCACGAGCTGTGTGTATGGCTCCCTTCCCCCGCCAGTGCTGCCTTGCCCCTCCAAGCGGTGTCGCGTGTTTAGCTGAATGCCTCTGTTCCAACTGCGTGACTGCGGGTGTGTGTGTGGGAGATCTCCGATTTTTTTGTCCTCCATTACCTTGACAACTCCCCGGGGATCGGGGTGAGTATCTCCTATGGTTTTTGGGTACAAATGCCGGTGAAGCACGGCCATCTGCTGTCGAAGCACGATCAAACCGGTGTGAAGAGCACCCTATTTTTTTTTCTTCTTCGTCACAAACCAGCAGATCGTCAATCGGTGCTCTATGGGCCTCGTGCTGGTTGAAAGGGAGGGAAAATTCAGGCGATCGCTTTTTCCCTCCTGGGACTGAGGGAAAAGAAACGGTCGCACTTCACGCTCCGCGGCTCATTATTGGTACCATGTCCAATACGTGGTATGTGTGTGTCGTGTGCTGGTGTCACCTCAGCAACATTCCACACGCAGCCGTCGCACACACCAGAAGCAGAACAGCATGGCGCACGAAGCGTAACAAACCAACGTTGCCATAGAGTACCTTCATCTCCTTTAGTAGGTGATCCGAAGAATTTTGAACTTGGGTGCCTTTTGTTTGCACCAGACAGCGATCTACTGCTGTAGCGGTACTTTAGGAGGTTGTACAACAGAGACCGAGTTTGGGCCCAGGTTTCACACAATGATGCAGGTTCAAAACGCCTTTCATCCAAAGACGCTGTGCGTAGGCGTAGGCAACAGGTTACCGTCACATCGGGGCCAGTATATTTTTTCCAAGCCGAGTAGACTTGAGTCACAAATAACATGTGTTGTCCCGCGCCCTCTGGTTCGCGTTGTTTCCCGTGTGCCTGGCTGACAGATACGATGATGAGCAAGGAGGATTTGGAGGAAACCACCGATTCTGCTCCTGACGATCCTGCTCCTATTCTGGAAACCAAAGATTCTGCTCCTCCTAAACCGTACACCCCGAGCATCCTATGGTGGACCAAGAACAGGTTTGTTCGTATGCCTAGTTCTGATTTTTTTCGTGAAGAGACCGATGCCTCGAATCATGTTCTGCAGCCCGACCATTTCGGTCCCTTGCACTGTGTCTACGATGAGACGCCGTCCGTCATGGTTGTCAGTTTGCTCTCGCGCGCCGCGTAGACGGGAGGGCGTCGAGTGGTGCCAGTTCACCAATATTTTCTTCAGACACGCACAAAAAACATGAGTTCTTGGTACTGCTTCTCTCGAGTCCAAGCCTAGCTATGCTTGCTACGAAGTATTTGTACAAATTCAAACTAAAGTACACGTGTAAGTGAGACTGAGGTGACTGATGCTGCCCCAGCCCCCGCACTCCAGGTGGCGGTTCTGAGTTGGCAAGGATCTTCAAGTTGAAAACCATCTAGACCAACCCCCGGGGAGCATGAATAGCCAACTGCTCTTGAAGATTTTGCTGTTCTGTGCGTATCCGGCAAATAATATATTTCGGAGGGCGGTTGCGATTGATGACGCTCAACTTGGGGCGGTGTAATTGCTGCTGAGAGTCGGGACCTTCACTGGCCATGAGACAAGACCAACTAGGAACGCTCTGGAGCACACATGCCGCCATGCGCCGATCCGATAATTCCTGTTTTCCAACCTCAACGGACAAGAAGCGTATCGGAATTTGGGCCCAAAGCTGCAGCAGCAGTAACGTATCGCGGGCTACAAGTTGGAGTCTGGTTAAATCCGCACACTGAGAACGTCTCGCGTGCACCACATGCGGGAAAAGGATGCGGTGTTGTGCCTAGGAGCATCTACATATGGAGGTCAAACACAATCAAACTGATTCTGATTCGTCTACCCGTGTCCTCGGTGGGTGCTCCGAAAAACAGGGAGGAGGAGAACAATAAGCTAAACTTGTTTGCCAACGCTGGCTTCTTGGCGGGCGTGGCGCTGTTCACGATCGCTGTGGTCTTCGGGGTGGACTCGGTGAGAGTTTTTGTTCCTGTGTTTGGGTGGAAACGGCGTTGTTTCGGAGACATTTCGACAAAACGCGAGCATCGAACGGCACTGCTTCTGGTTGTTTCGTGGAAAAATCGAAGCCATTCCCCCTTTTTTTGGCCAATCTAGGCGAACACACACAAAGCACTTTCACCAACGTATGCATGCAGATACTGAATGTAAGAGTATATGTAGAGTATATGTGGGGCGGTTGGTTCTATTTTATTTCTTCTGGTTTTGGCAAGGAATATTGTTTTGTGTTTTGTCGACCACTGGGAATCACCAACTCTCGAGTCCAAAGAAGCTAACACGTGGACGGGAGTCTCGCGACGAAAGATGTGAACATTATTTGGGGTGCTCGGTAGAGTATTGTCTACAGGGCCTCCGGGGGGTTACATGGATGGTGATGATATGGGTATGATGGACATGACGCGCGGGGCCCCTCTTGCCTCCCTCATGCCTGTCAATCGGTAGTTGAGTAGCTTGAGTCAATCGTTTTTCTCTTCCGGCCTCTGACGAAGCTAGCTGCTGCACCCGAACATCCAATGTCGCCAATCGGCACGCGGAAAATGAGACCCACAGGCCAAGCGACCGACGTTATAACTGTCTCACAAAGCGAGCAAAGAGAGCAGTCATTTTTTTTGGCGCATCAACTCACAACCAAAATTCTTCACTTGATTGAGAAAGAGAATGCGAGAGGGGGAAAGAAAGACGTTATCTTGTCTCTACAACCACCCCCTTTCTCTCGCTCCGAACTTTCCAGGAAGTTTCCCGGGGCTGGACCATCGGAGAATACATTCTTCGGGTGCCGCTGGACAACTGGGACGGTTACTCGGAGATGCTGAGGCAAAGCCCGGTCCAGGTGAAGGCCTGCACTAGCGGGATCGTCTACGCCCTGGGAGACCTGGTAGCGCAGTCGATGGAGGGTACGGAGCTTGCGAGCATCGAGAGGCAAAGGGTGGTTCGGTCGGCCATCGCCGGGCTGCTGCTTCACGGGCCCCTGAGCCACGTCTGGTACAACGTGTGCGAGGGGCTGTTCGATATCGTTGGTTGGAACGACTACTGGTGAGTATTTGTGCTGCCGCCGTGTTAGTGCTGCTGCTGCTGCTGCTGCTGCTGCTGCTGTTGTTGTTGTTGTTGTTGTTGTTGTTGCTGCTGTTGCTGCTGCTGTTGCTGTTGCTGTTGCTGCTACGGTGGCGGCGGTGCAGGCGACTGTAGTCGTCGCTGTTGTTGCATGTTGGTCGATGTGCGTGAGAGATGTTGACGGCCGGGAAGGGAGGTGTTCGCGTCGACAGTGTGGTGTGGTGTCGCACGAAGAAGGCGAGCCTTGGTACAAGAGCGGAGGGTACGTAACACGTTGTTGGCGAGAAAGGGGGGATGATTTTGGTCGGACTGGTGAAGGTCATGATGACGTGTGCACGAAAGATCCAAGAGCCACCGCATAATTCACATCAAGACCGTATTGTGTTTTTCATGGAAAACACGGACGTGACGATGGAGAACGGACTCCGCGGCGAAAACGAAAAATCTCGCCCGTTCGAGCGCCTCGCTCCACGCCTCTCGCCCGACCGGTTCTTCTGCAGAGGGCATATTAGGCAAGAAGGCCTAGAAGGTTGTTGCCTCCTGTGCCTGTCCCACGAATGACGAACAACGCACACGTCGGGATGACCGCGGCAGGTGGGTGCCAGCGCCCAAGATCATCACGGATCAGCTCCTCTGGGGTCCGGCCTGGAACGCGGTCTACATCGCCTTCCTCGGCGTGCTGAACAAGGACTCGTCCGCGGTGATATGGGAGGCGATAACCTCGACGGCTCTCCCGCTCGTGATCGCCGGAATCCGGCTCTGGCCGTTGGCGCACGTCGTCACCTACGGCCTGTGAGAGAGATTGAGTTTTTTTTTTATCTTTGCCAGTCCGTTCCTGGCCTGGGTGGAAACCGCTAGTTCGTGTGTACACAGAGGGAAAAGAGAGTGTGCTGGACTCTTCTCGCGCTAAAAATCGAAGACAGAGTACCGCAGGAGGAGGGGGAAACCGTTCTGTGTGACCACGGGTTGGAGTAAATGGCAGAGGTGCTTGCTGTGAGCGCCTATTGGAAGTAAAGACAATAAAAAAAAAAAAGTCGGTGTGCTTGTTTTTGCTGGATCACATGGCAACCAACCCGTTTGGTGGTCCCTTGCTCGCCTTCCGTGCGTGTCGTGGGCCCACATCTACGACATCTACGACGCCAGTGCAATCACGGAGTAGATGTGAAATCGAGTGCTGCTCTTGTCGCCACAAAACACGAACGAAACTCTTTTTTGTCCCCCCAATCCTCCGCCCCCGTGCCACATTGTTTTGTTTTTGTTTCGTCTTGTTTTCCAGGGTTCCGAAAGAGAACCGGCTCTTGTGGGTCGACGCTGTTGAGATCATTTGGGTTACGATCCTAAGCAGTCAGGCGGCGGAGCAAGCGCGATCTCCCGCGGAACAGGAGGAAAGCACGAGTTGACCCTTGTCTCAGACCTCGTCCCACCAATACCCGGAGATGAAAATGAAGTTTCGGGTTAAAATCCTCTTCCGGAGTTCGTCCTGCGCATACATGGAGAGATGAAGATGAAGATGAATTCGTTGTCACGGAGCACTGAGGAGGGAAGCAGATCAGATGACCAAGACTGCTGTCCTGTGTTTCCCGCGATGTGGGTAGCATCAGAGAGAGAGAGAAAGAGAGAGAGAGAGAGCCGGCTTGTTGGCGGTGTGTCTCTGAGGAGTAGGAAGGGGGCCCCGACTGGAAAGGGGGATCAAAGGCTTGAAGCGAGCAGCAGAATGCGTATGCCCCTCTCGTCCCTGCCCCGGCCCAGGGGGGATTCATTCTCAACATGCCCTTTCGAGACAACTTTTGCACAACGCAATGGAGAACACGCCAGGGGAGCTGGAGCGGTTGGCATTTTGCAGAAGCCTGTACTCCTTCGGTCAGAAACCACGCTTGCTGGGTTGGAGATTGTGTGTGGCAAGACGTGAGCGCACTCTTGTGGTTGTTGGCCGAGAGGACCCGCCGCCGTCGACCTGTGTATGAAATGTACTTGTGTGTGTGTGTGTGTGGTTTATCTTGCTTTTTGCAGTGACCGAGCTTACCGGTTGACCATGCAATGAAAAGGCGTGAGTCTTGTAGGGGGAGAGAGAAGGAGCTAATAAAGGGTTGGGTCGGTGGCAGCGTCCTTGCATGGCGGCTACTCTTGAAGTTGGCCAGGATCCGTCGGTTGAGCGCATGATACACCTTCTTTGGGGGGGCGGCGGCGGCGGCGGCGGTGGTGTCGCAGCTGGGCGTCTTTGGTTTTTTGCGCGCCCTCCTCCTTTGCGGGTGGGTGTTTCTCCGTAGTGTCGAGAGGAAGAGAAAGAGGCCACATCTCCTGATGAACGCCGGATTTTTGAGGATGATGTAGGTTTGTGGATACAGGAGGGAAGAGGGGGGTTCCCCAGGTGGCTCGGAGGACAACGAACGGCATGTATGTGTGCTGTGCTGTCCCGACGGCGCTATCGTTTGTGCCCCAACTGTTTTCGGTCTTCGACCTTGAGTTTTTTTTACCTGGTAGGTTTTACGAGAATGGGGGGCTGGAGGAGAGCCGGTCAGGCATTCTTCCGTACCATTTCCGTGCCATGTCGAACCGGGTGTTGCGGTGTCAAGGTTTGTAGGTCACCAAAAATGTTATTGCGATTGGGTCCAGCAGTCAGTAGTGTGCCTTTTGGAGGCAACTGTAAATAGTTGTGATTTTTGTTTCGTGAGTCCTTGCTTTATCGGACAACGCACCTCGATGGGCTTAAAAGAGAGGCGTATTCGAGGCGTGTTTGTCGTGTTGTTGCTACTGCGGGCGTAAAAAGGCTGCGTATATCGTGCGGAAAGCGTCAAGACCCGTCCGTTTTGTTTGTTGTTGAAAACATGCCTCCTTCCCGTCGCGTGACCCGAAGTATTATTTTTGGTTTAGCTTGGGTGTGGGTGAGCGACCGTTTTCTCTTTTGGGGATCGCTAAGTTTGCAGTAGGAGGGTTCTCAACGCTATTGTAGCGTTTCTTTTTTTTATTCCGTTTGCTGCGTTGCGGGAATGTGCACGGGGAGGTACGACCGTTCGTTTTGTTGTGTTTTGCGCCTTGTCTTGTACTCCGTAATGTTTTATTCCCCTCCCCCCCCCTTCCGTGCCAACTGACGGTCCCCGCGCGAAGTAGTTCTTGCGCAAATCGAAATCAAAGTCCAACCGCCTTGTTTTATGTTTTTGTTTTTTCCGCTGGTGTGGCGGACTGCTGCTGTGCGAGCTGCCGCATCAAAGCCTCATGCAGTGGCGGCATGTCGAGAACATGGGAACATTTGGTGTTCTTCCTGTGGCGCAATAAATAGTAGCGCCCACCGGGGCATGCAACCCTCGTTTTACTTGGTGGTCACCATTGTTGCGGTGCACTGATCCGCCAAGGAATCAGCATGAATGGTGATCTTGTTCCTGATGCTTGCTGCTCGTACAGGAGAAGACCATGGCAGAGCAGTGCAGTGTACACCGGGACACGACGAAGCTGCTGGTAGCAAATTGAGTCTGATGTTTTTGATTTCGGCTTCTCAAGGCTATGCATGCGGAGTGTTTGTGACACGAGGTCCCGGTTGCGCGTTGTGCCGAAGGAGCGGTCCCACGTCGCGAAACAAGTGCGATTGGAGCGATCCGCCGACACGGCAAGAACTATTCCACTTCGTTTTCCTCGTCTTTTTTATTTTTTTTCGTCAGTTCTCGTCTTTCTTCGTAAAACCCACCCACCATCTACAGTAATAACGAATAACGCCCGGAACCAACAAAAAAAATACACTCAACATCCACATAACGAGAGCAACAACAAAACAGGCAACGAGAACTCCCCGCCTATTTCTCCTGGGTGCCGTGAATCACTCCTCCCTCGAGCGCTCGACGCAAAAACAAACGCGCGCCTTGTTACCCCCCACGCCCCAATCCGTCGTCCGACTTGCCCCTGCATCTCCTAAACAACCTAATACCAAACGCCGCCCTCAGCTCTGAACGGGACTACGGGTACAACCACCAACAGGGGACGTGGGCCTGAGAGGAGGACAGTACAACAGCGCAGGCGCAGACGAGGGGGGACGGGAGACTATTCCCTTCAAAACGCACAGCATGCTTTTCCCTCTGGAGTGTTGCACGGCCACAGGTGACGCCGACGTTCCTCCCCCCCAGCACCTAATCCTGTTTCCCCCCCCAGATGGTCCATACAGCCTAGATGAGCAACTGCTCGATCTGGTCCTTGAGCGTGATGATCTGGCTCTTGAGCTGGGAAGCCTCGTTGGTGGTGACGGAGCAAGCCACCACGGGGCGAGAGACACCGCATGCCCGTCCGAGAGCCACCTGTTTGTTTCACGTAAAATATGTTTTAATTAGAGAGGAAGAGTCGCACAGCAGTACAATAGCGGCTGCGGTCAAAGTGGGATAGAGAAAAAAAAAAGGTGACAGGAACAGCTGGAAGACGGGGAGGGGAATGCAGGCGTTGCAGGTGCGGGAAGGGCACAGGCGGGAGTGAAGGCCGTTCCGTGGATGTATAAATACGCGCGTGTAGAGAATCAACCCGGGCGCTGCGTGGAAAAGAGGTTTGGAAGGGGGGTGAGCCGTGCTACATGAAAGTACGTGTCCTCTGACGCAAGCGATGCAGACGACGAAGAGGACGAAGCAAGCGCATGCGCACGCTAAGGCATACCTTCGACGGGACAAACACGTACGGCACGTTCTTGTCCTCGCACAGCAAAGGGAGGTGCAGGAGGATCTCCAGCGGCTCCGCGTCGGCTGCCATGACGATGAACTCGGAGATGCCGCGGTTCAGGGTCTTGGTAGCTATACGTGTACGAGGTGATGGCACAGGGTGCGACGCGTGTGGGGAGGGGGGCGGGAGGCATTCATGAGGTGCAGCAGTGTTTCAGCAAGAGGCACACAGCAGTGACAACAAGCATGGCTTGCACAATCGGAGACTTCTCTTCCTCAGAGACTAGTACGTCCATAAATTGATTGCCCTTTTGTATGTACAATGTGGACCTCTAGTAGAAGATAAGATACATGACTCAAAATCTTTGCAGGTTTGTAGGAATCTTGGAATTCCAACCACGGCGACAGCTGCTGAGAAAGTGACTGCTCCCTTGGAGAGAATGGAGAGATGTCCCCATCGGGACTTCGCACCGTCGAAATCTGAACGTGAGAAAGGAAGTCTATCGTGCCCGCGGACACGCGCAGGTGGTCCGTGCGGAGGCATCGACATGGTGTAATCTGTGCGCGTGCTATGCATATGATACTAATTTAAGCACTAGAAATTGAAGTGCACAATGACTAGTCAGGGAAATGCAGCGGGTTTATGTCTCGCGTGGCTTTGTTTTTAACTGAACGCGTGGGTCTTACTGCCAGCACGACCGCCCACTAGACGCTGGGTGGTCATGTGTCTTGTCTGTGAACTGGATGGCACAGGAAAAAAAAAATACCTTACAACAACGGTTAGTCCTCCACGCCAACGTTCGCTCGCACACGTGGGCAACCAAGCACGCTCTCTTCCAAGGTTGTCCGTGGGGTAGCGTGCCAGACTGTTTGGCGGCAACTCAAACGCCACGCCCGCCCAACCGATCTGCGCTTGGTGTATGGCGGAGGATGACACATGACGGCGAGACAATGTCATCAACCAGCGGTGCTTTGCGTCAATGCGTTTAGAACCATAGGTCTCCAGGTCTCCCGCTACCCCGAGGTTGTGGCCTGCTGTAACAAGGGCCAGCACGAGGGCCGTGGGTGCTTTGGTTGTGTGCTGCATGTCGCCGGCGGCGTGAGCGCTGGGCTGGTGGCGGCGCAACCTGCGACGACGAGACTGCTGGATCCTGCGACGCCGGTGGTTGCCAAAAGGGGCACGTCACGACTGCTGCTGCTGCTGCTGCCAATGCCACGCACAAAACCACATGCTGAGCCGACAAACGCCCCCACGACAGAAGCCTGGCAGGGTCACTCACCCTCGTTGGCACCCTTCTTGAGCTGCTTGTAGTTGGACGCCTGCTGGATGAGGTCCAAGATGGTGACGGTGAGGTCGGGTCCAGTGAGAGGGTAGGCCTTCGGGTTCACTCCGTCCTCCGCCATCTTATTACAAAATAAAGCCGCGAGGAGTTCTGGAACGACGAGTAGGAGGAGGGCGGGGAGAGGAGGAGAGAGAGATAGCGTGTGCGTGGTACCCTCAAAGCCTTGCTATCATTGGGTGGTGTGAACGAAAGGCTGGCCTGCCCCAGGGGCACATCAACAACAACAAGGATGGGGTCGCGGCAGATAGCGCAGAACCCAATATGCACGCCCCCCGGATCGAGTGACCGTCAAGCTTGCTGCCCACATGCCCAGCGCCATAGCAGCAGAGAAGAAGCGATTTGACGTGACGTCTGAGGCGTCTAACAGGAGCGCACTTGTGCTGGTCGATGGTCGGTAGCGTCCTCTACCCCGGGTCAATACCTACGCGAGCGGCTAGGTCGGCAGTGAGGCATTGGCTGCACACGATAAACGGCAGATCACACGACGAGCTTCCTGTTTTGAACAGGGCTCCTCTGCACCCCGCTCTCTGCTGCTCCCGCTCCCGCCGGGGCTTTAAGCGAAACACAGGCTGACACCCATCGCCAACAGCTACAGGTGCTTGGCCGGCTTCTGCCGAAGAATATAGGGTGCTTCCGAAAGCTGGAACCACAGCTGGAGAGCACACAGCAGTGCGACAAAGTGTACCTGTGGTGAGAGGTCTGGATGTGTTTGCCGTGCTGCTGTTGTGCGCTGGAGAACCTAGGACGGTATTCACAACCACCGCTGTTTCTCTGTCTCTGCCTCCCTCTCTGTCTCTCTCTATCTACGTACAAGCAACGGAACCTCCTGACTGGTAGGCGTCTACGACGGCTGTTTCTCCTCTATCCGCATGTGTTCGGCTGTGACTGACCCTGGGAGTATGGAGGTGTTGCACACAATGGCAGCTGGTGCAGGGTCAAAAAATGTCGCAACAACTTTCCCGAACTTCAATTCCGAAACGGCTCGTTTTGACTGCTGAGAGTGCCCGCACGGATTGATCGGGCGTGTGTGCAGGAAACCATTGCGTGAAAGCTGACTTCAACAGGAAAATCACGGGTGAGAAGGGAACCATCGCCTGTTGAACCGTTTTCTTCAGGTAAAATCATTCATTATTGGACATGTAACTCCAAAGCGATATACATCGTCCTCTCTGCATATCGTGCGGTTCCAGTTGCCTTACAGCAGGTGCGGGCACCTCTATTTACTAACTACTGCAACCTTTCTTGTCCGAGGCATCGAGGACATCGCGGTCGATGAACAACCACCACCACCACCGCCAACGCCAAGAGTAGGTCGTACGTCGTCGGGGAAACCATGCCGTCGCCGCCACCGCTGCACCCACCCCAACCACCGCTGGGCCTGCGCGATACGATCCCCGCCGCCGCCGCGGTGCCCATCGCCGTCGCGGCCGCTGTAATCATCGGGAGCGGCCTCCCGGGGGAGGCCGTCTCGTCGGCGCTCGTTTTCCCCTCCCTGCTGCTGCTCGCGGCGTGGTCGTCACCCGCGGGGCTAGCGCTATTGGTAAGAGTGCTTCTCGCCGAGGCTATTCGCCTGAGCGGTCTCCTAGCGGACGAGGAGGAGGAGGAGGAGGAGGAAGGTCACGAGCAAGGAGAGCGTGGGTCGAGAAGGAGCAGCGTGGAGCTCCAGCGGGGCCACGGCTGGGAAGGGGTAAGGGGGCGGGCGGCCGTGCAGCAGTGGAAGTGGAATCGCCGCCGGCGGCAGAGGCGCGAGCAGCGGCGAGAAGGAGAACAATGGCAGGGGGAGGAGGAGGAGGAGGAGGAGGAGGAGGAGGAACTTCAGAGTGAGCAAGAGGGAGAAGGAGATGAGCGTCGTCAGCGGAGGCATGCGAACGAGCGGCGGGTGGACGTGGAATGGGAGGGCGGGCAGCTCTTTTTGGTCCTTCGCCGGGCTGTCGCGTCCGACTTCCTAATCAATCTCGTCAATAGGTAAGTGGACCTTTGGCGTTAAATTACGTGCCGACGTTTAGGGTTGTTGGCAATTCAAGCGACGTGCAATCATCACCGGTCGAGAGCGGTACCGTATTTGATCGCACGCCCACTAGGGCCTACTTTAGTAGCCCGATTGTTCCACACCCAAATAGGGCTCGAGTTGGACGCCACAACAACCACCCTTTTCCGCAGTGGCACAGTCTTGGTCGTCGAGCTGTGAAGCTCGGACTAGGGGCTGGTGCAACCACTCGCACAATTACGGTACCTCTAGGTGGTGCGCTGCCCCCCCCGCCTTGGGTGTCGTACAGTATCCATCTTGCGCGTGCTGTTTGCACGGTAACGCTGCAGCATCCTGAATTGCAGCATCTTCATCACATGTTTTCTGGCTATTTCACGATACACACGGTATACCCAATCGAGATCAACATCAGCTGCCCGAGAGCGCTGCAAAAGAGATACCGGTGTTCCGGTGTTATACTAAGAGTTGTGCTCCACGTCACAGCAACAGCAGTACAGAACACTGCATAAAAATAACTACCCGCTAGCGACACGCACGACCGAGTTGGCCGTTTTCACGGGCCTATCAATCGTCGCCAAAGAGCCGACCAATTAGCGACGCCGTTTTCGAACTACGAGCGACAATAGCCAGATTTGCACCCTCTCACTCCCCCGCAAACGGACGACTGAAGCCCGGGTCAAGCCCTAGATCCACCAGCTTGACCTACTTGACGATGACGCTTGGCGTAGGACAGTGCAAAACCCAGGATCCTCTGGCCTTGCATCTCCTCGAGACGAAGCAGGTGGCATCTGTTAGTACAGCCGAATCAATCTCTAGACCCCTAAGCACCATCGCACGCACGCACCGTTGGACACGTTTACCATAGGTTTGCATAAGATATCACACCCCCTGGACCAATTTTCGGAGCTCGATATCTTGGCAGGAAAAGCAGTGACGGTGCCGAAAATGGCGACGTTAGAACCGTCTCGTGGAGAGCTTTCCGATAACGTGTGCTCCTTCAATTTTGGCATCCTCTTCGTCGTGGAGAAATCGAGCTTTGAAAATCGGTCCAGGGGGCGTGATGTCTTACGCAACCTACGGTATCTCGCTGCCACCAAAAGCGTTGGAAGATTTATTCCTAAGGCTGCTGCAGTGTCTTGTGGTGCGGCATTAACCCCTGCGCCTTTTCATGTACGACGACGAAACGAACAGGTACATGCACGGTCCGATCCCGATGAAAGTGGAGAGCTGCCGGGCGGAGATGCTGAGGGCGTGCCTCTCGCCGTCGCAGATTCTACGGCAGGGGTCTTTTCAGGCGACGGTCGTGGGTCTGAGGACCTTTGGTCGGAGGACTCACGAGGACGAGTGGGACGAGGTGTGTATGCCCAGAGGGATAAGTGCTGCACAAGAATGAGTAGAATCGACTTTCAGCCGCTTGGGTGAAAACCGTCGTGCCTTCGAGCCAGGCGTTGTTTTGCCTATCTCTGTCCACGCGTCACGCTCTTGGGATGCCTTCCCTGAACAATGTCTGCGATACAGACAATGGTGCGTCCCACCCAAAGATAACTGAGGCCTGTTGCGGACCTCCTGTGAAAGAGAGGGGCCTCACCCGAGGGTACCATCTGCACAGTACGGCACCGATTGTTTTTGTGCCCCACCCGGTTTACGTTGTCTGTTCCAACGAGAGCAGCACGCAAAGAGCGTGGACGAAAAGGCAGGCTACTGGGAGAAGTCGTGTGTCCAGTCGGTATCCGCACGCTTGAAACTGACACAGAAACCACACGCCTCGGTGCCCAGTGTGGAATCTAGTACTTTCGCGGTACGGTATCATGTACCACGTACTTCCATTTTTTGAGTGGGGTGACAAAGGTGCAGCGGCCCGCGTACCTTGACGCTCTTCCTTTGCCAGCCTGCCGGTACGTCTAGGGGTTCTGCGCGACTGTACAGATGGTTCACTCAACGAGGTCGTATGGCCAACTGCTAGCCGATTCACGGTCGGTGGCGCTTGGAGCAGGTCTCACCGGGAAGGTTGTGGTTCAGAGATACGCGTGCACTCAGCGGAATGTTTTGCCAAACGTCAGACCGCGAAGTCGTCCCCGCAAGGCAGAAGCAGGGGTTTGCTCCCGCCGGAGCCGCCCGTGTTTTGACGACAGCCGTGAGTTGAACATGCACACGCAACAACAGCAGCAGCAGCAGCAGCAGCAGCAGCAACAACAACAACAAAAATGATAGCAACGGAGTGCTCACGGTCGCTTTTTGGGGTGCTCCTCCCCTCCCCCCCCCCCCCCCTCCGCCCCCCTAAATTTCCTAAAGAGTTTTTACTACGAGAAAGCTCTTCGATTCCACCGCTGGGCGGCGGACTACGTCCAATCCCTCATCGAGGGCACCTACGGCCGGAGGATCAAGACGTGGGGCGGCATAGTGGACAGCCTGATCAACAACCTCACCTTCGAGACGAGGGACGTACACCTTAGGTAAGAGGCACACGCGGAGGACGGAATCCCGACACGCGAGAAAAACAAGTAGTACCTATTAGGCGCTCGGTAACTATGAATTGTTTTTGGTTTGGTTTGTTTCCGTGCGGTTATTCTTGGTGTGCGTAGAGCAGGAAGTATGGCACTCGTATAGGGCGTTTCCTATCGTGGTGAGGAGATTTGGAGCGCTGTTCTAGTAGTTTTTCCTTGTTTTTCCGCGTGTCGTGTAGAGGGGCGGAGAGGGGCGGAGGAGACAGCAGAAGGCGGAGTGAAAATAACGGACAGGCGGAGACACAACTGCAGAGCAGCAGCGTCAGATGGCGGCGGCCCAGCTTGGTGATCCTGCCACTCGCTCTCGTTTCTGACGGCATCACCGCTGCCGTACAAGGTTAGCGTATGACACGGACGTTTTTCCACCGACCGCCCGACCGACCGCCCTGTCCTACGCCTTCTCCGCGCCGCCTCCGCCGCCTCCCGGCCTGTCTGTCTACCCTCGCTCGCAGAATCGACGACCGCTTCAACGGGCATTGCTTTGGGATGTTTGTGGATGTGTTTGACTGTAAACCCGGGGTGCAGGAGCCGGAGTCGTTGGGGGCGACCCCGCACGAGTTCGCCGTGAAGGGGGTGTTATTCTACGTCGACCCCCACAACGAGGTCGCGCTCAGCCCGCAGTGCACCGCGATGACCGTAAGTTTGGGGTACACTGGTTGTTGGCGGTGATCGCGCGATCGACGGCAAGGAAACAAAGTACACATTGCAACGCGCTCTAAAAAACACACCGCAACAAACACACAAACCCTCCCCTTCTGTGATTATGATTTCCCTTCCCGCGTGCCCTGCGTACGTACGTATGGCCGCCGTGAACAACAAAGGTGGACGAGGGCACGTTCCGCGTCGAGTTCCCCGACATCTTCAGGACCCTAATCCTCAACCGCGAGATCATGCCGGGGGGCAGGGGCAAGCGGCTGCGGGTCCGAGGAGACTTCACCGGGATCGTTGCGAACGTCCAGGCTAACCAGGCAAGTGGCCGGCCGGCCGGCAGGCAGGCGAGCGGGTGACCTATGTAGGCGACCGAGCGATCGAGGCGAAGGTTATGATACAATACGGCAGATTGCCGTGTTTGTTTTCGTGGAGCTGCGGACCAAAGGTAGCATTGGGGGTGCTGGTGAACGATTTAAGCTCTCTGTCACTCTCTCTCTGTCTCTGTCTCTCCCTGTCTGTCTCTCTGCCTGCTCTCTCTCTCTCTCTCTCTCTTTCTCGCGTCTTTCTACGGTAGTTTCCGTGTAGCTACGGACGGTCGGATGGACGGGCGAGGGTTGGATGCGATCATGTGTTCTCTGCCCGGTAGCCCGGTGTTGTGTGACGGCGAGTAGTCCCATCCTACGCCCCCCTTCATCTCTCGATGGCCTATATACCTGTATGTGACCTTCAGCGCCATACGTACCAATTTTGCGGTACAATCAACGGGAAGCGCACTACCCTTCCTGGTGTGTCGCTTTTGAGCACATTTCGACAGAATACCCAAGAAACTACTCTTTTCTTGAGAATACCACCCACATTTTAGTGTTTTTTTTTTTATTCATCACAGTTTGGTCTAACCGCGCCCTTACCGAAACGAAACGAACGGCTCTCTTTCCCTCCCTTCTCCCCTCGAAACACTTGCACCGCCTCGGGGGCATAAGATGCGGACGTTTCTGTTCAGCCTCTTGGGGACGTTTTGCCCGTACAAGTACAGCGCGTGGAAGGCAACCATTCGGGAGCAGGTACGCGGAGCGTCGGCAGTGTGTCTGTGCTTGCAGCGCCATATGTGGACTGCTCGGACAACACGTGCGTCGTCGCCTTTTTCCCCGGGCGCCAGTCTTTCAACGTTTCGGTATATGTTCTGGACACATGAGCCAGGGTTATTCAGGAGCAAGGTCGCACAGAGGACTGTTTTTTTTTCGCCTTCTCTCCACCCTCCTTCACGATGGTATATGAGTCAGCGTTTTACTGGCCAAGCCAGATTCATTTTTCGTGTTTTTGAAGCAGCCGCGTGCCTCAGAGGGCAATCGCACTCGTGTTTTCTGGCACGATGTTCTTGTCGTCAGGCGGCCGTCGACTGCAGGCCAGTGTCACCCTCGCTCCGGCGGGAATACATCGACACGTTCGGAACAGCGCGACAGGAGAACGAGTTGAAAGCGGCGCAAAAGAAGGAGCGCGCGGACAAACTCATCGTGAGCGATACAACGTACCCGTTTTTGGTTGCTATTGTCAAGTACTTCTACTTGCTTTAGTGTGCATACAAATTATTAGAGTGACGTGGCTGTGTAAGCGCGCTGTCGGAGTAATTTTGTTGATCATGGTCAACGACATCCCGGATTCTGGCTGTCTGGCTGTCTGGCTGGCTTTTTGTGGGTACCTTGCTTGTTGTCAGATTCTCGTGTTTGCTTGTTGTTTCTGCCGTACGTGTGCACCTCCGTTCACCTGTGCCTGTTTGTTTACCAGGAGCTAGAGCGACGTTTTTGCTCCTTTGTTTCCTTTTATCACGATTCCAGTAGATATGGATCTGTTGTTCTGGTCTGTTGTTCTCGTTAAATGACTTGACCGTTTTCTTTTGGCGTCTGTATTCGGTTGAAGCTGCGATTCGCCCATGAGCGCAACAGAACCGCGTATGTACATCCAGAACAATCTGGCCTTGTTGTCAAAGAGACTGCACTTGGATGGGCACCAGCTCATGTTTGATCGCTCCGTCCATTCGCAACCGCTTTTCCGTGTGAACCGTTTGCCTTTTATGTCGTTGCCGACGTGTTCCCGTGCGAAACGTTTGCCTTTTTACCGTTGGTGTCGCTTCTATTTCCGAGCAGGAGCTAGAGCGACGCATGTCGTACCGCGACATCCTTCTCGTGCGGAAGGAGGCCCGCGGCTGGCGGCTGGAAGACATGGGGGGGGGGGGCGAGGAGCCCGCGGGGACAAGCCCTCCCCTCGATCCCGAGCTAATGGAGGGCGTCGAAGAGGGGGACCCTGGGGTGAGAGTAATGAGAGCCGTAACAGAAAAAATAATCTTGTTTCAAGCCACACGCGTTGTATGAGGATGTTGAATACTGCCTGGGGTGTGCAGGGGGGGACACGGGAGGTTCCGTTTGTACGTTTATGCGCTCGTAGATTTTTGTTGCTGTTGTTTTGCGTCTTCCAATGTGCATTTCGTTTTCCAACTCCAGGCCACTAAGCAGGTCAACAAAGTTGTACAGCAGTCTACATTCCAGTGATGATATGGTTACTAAATATTCTTTCTAGACATACCTGAAACCTCGCCCTCTTGAGTTTGGAATATTTCCGTCTTTTTGCTTTCTTTTCCCCGTGTGATATGTGTCGTCATTTTTTTTCAAAACCAGAACATCTTTTTTTGGTCTTTGCCCCCATATTATTGTGGCTGCCTGCGGCCGTCTTCTTGTGCCGTGCTTTGCAATCAGGCCACTCCGTTTTATATAGTCAAGGGATGTTGGTATCCAACGCTTCCTAGTTCCAAAGATAGTGGTACCGTATGAGTGAATCATGCAACTCTCGGTCCGTCCGTCGTTCGTGTCCCTCATCGTGTATTGCTGTTGGCTTTGGCAGTACGAGGAACTGGCTCAGTTCGCGGCGAAGGTGCAGGGCCTGAAGCTCTCTGCCTGGGAAATCAGCACTTGCCTCCGGGAGATCATGGTCGAGACGGTCATCGCTCGCCAGGTCGAAGTCCGGCTGTACACGAAGGCAAGTGGGCTATTGTCAGCTGTTTTTAGCTTCGTAGGGTTGCCTTCGAGCTGTCGGGTAAGCTTGGTTCGGCTGCCCTTGAGTTGTGCAGTGAGCTATTTGTTGGGCAAGCTTGGTGGGGTTGCTCTTGAGTTGCGGGGTGGGCTTCGCACAGCAGTTGCCCTTGTTTTGTGGGGTGAACTACATACACACGGAACTGTCCTTTGATTGGTTGGGCGAGCTTGGTGGGGCCGCTCTTCATGGGTGAGGGAAGCCAGGCGGAGATGAACGTAGCTCGTCATGTTGACGGGAAAACCCTGTACCCACTGTTCTGACTCCGGCCACCGGACTTGATGCCTGTCCCTCAGGCTGACAACGCCGACGGCCCAGAGGACAAGACGTTCAAGTCTCCGCTGCAGGCCGTTCTGTTCGCCGGAAGTATGGAAGGGCGTTTCCGGCTGTTCATCGCCCGAACCAAGGCCAGCAATCGGTATGTAGGGCGGAGGTATTCCCCCGCTCGCTCGCAGTCGCTGGTGCTCGTGTCCGCCCCCCCCCCTCCCACACTGTTTACCGGTCACTGCTTCTACGGCCGACGGCTGCGCGGTTGGACGGAGAAACACCGTCGGATACGTGTAGTCTTGCTTGTTTGTCGGCACGTTGAACACCACTATCGCCATCTATGTCTACCCCAGTATCTCGATACTCCGTGTTTCCATATCGAGCCGGTGGGAGACCATTTCCGTGGTGGCAGGCGTGCCACAAAACGAAGTCAAACGTGTTCTTCAATTTTCCTTGTTGACAGAGCCAAGGTTAAGTTGTGTTTCGGCCCCCTCTGTCTCCCGTACTTCCCCTCTCCCGATGCCACCTTCCTCTCCGTTCAAGGCTTCACTCTCGAGGGGCGAACGGGGTCGACGGTGAGCCCACCCTGCCGTGGCTCTTGGCCGGTGGCACGATGCAGCACCCGGTGGTGCTAGACGAAGCCACGGCGACGCGGTTTGGGTACGGGTCGAGCTGCGTTTTGGGGCCGGCGAAGGCGGTAAGAGTGGCTCAACCAGACAGCGGCGCCGGGGGTGAAGGAACGGCTGGACGACGCGCGGACGACAGCAAGAGCGAAAGCGGCGCCGTCCCGGAAGTCGGCGGATACTTCCGGATGTGGAGCGACTACCGCATGGCCCTGGAAGGGCACGCGAGCAACGTGCAGGCGGGCGCCCTCCTTCCCCCGGTCCTGGACATGGCGAGGACGGTGGCAGACACCTTCCGGCGCCGCTGGGCGGCCGGCGGGGAGTACCCCGAGCGCGTGCTGGCGCGCGTGAGGCTCGCGGAGAGGAGGGACGAGGGTGACGATGAGGCCGAGGCCGGCGGCGGCTCGGCGGCGACGGTTGCCGCCGCGAGCGTCGGGCGGGCTGAAGCGGTGAAAGTCGACGGGGCTAGCGGGAAGGGCGACGACACCAAGGGTAGCTTGGCAAAGGTGGCGGAGGGGAGCCGACGAGAAGGGGAGAGTGAGACGGAGGGGGATCTTGACGACAGCGACGACAACCAGGACGCCGTTCCCGCGGGACGGGTGCCGGGAGACGATCGTGAGGATGCTACTAGCGATAGTGGCGGCGGCGGCAGCGGCAGCGACAGCGGCAGCGGCCAGAAGCAGCGGCAGGGACAGCCCCCGCAACACGGCGGCTTGAGGCAGGTCTTGTCCCGGCTCGACGGGCTCGACAGCGGGGCGCTTGTCGAGCGTGCCCTGGAGGACCATCTGCACGGGGAAGGGGAGGAGGAGACCAGCGCCGGTGAAGAAGGTGCTTCAGGCGGCGGCGGTGGCGGCGGCAGTCGTGACCTTTCCGGCGGTGGGGGCGCGGCGGATGGTACCGACGACGACGGCGGTTCAGAGGGGGAGACCCCCGCTCTCGCGGCGGGGGCTTCGGCAGCGGTGGCGCTGTCGACGACGACTCGGGCCGGAGGTATGACGGGGGACGGCGGCTTGGCGACGGCCACGAGCACGCCGGACGGTGATGGCGAGGCGGCGGCGGTAGCGCTTACCGGAGACGGCGACACGTCTTCTGCTTCCGCCCGGGACCGGGAGGGGGCGGAGGCGGTGGAGGCGGGGATGCAGGCCTCCGGCGAGGAGAAGTTCATGCTCCCGGGGTGGCACTACCTCGCGCTCTCGGGCAGGTCCCTGTCGATGGACTTCCGGTGGTCGAACATGGACCTGGTGCTCATGCAGGACCCGACGGCGCGGCAGGGGCGCGACACCGGCAAGAACGTCCTCGCGCTGCGGTCGACGGGCACGCTCACGGTGAGCAGCTCCGGCGTCGGAGAGTCCGTCGACGTCCAGCTCCGGGACGCCTCCCTGTTGCCCTGCTTCTACGCCGACGAGGGCGGCGGCGAGAAAGTTGGGAGCGTTTCTTCTCATCCCGCCGCCGCCGAAGCCGGCGGCGACGGCGGTGTCCCGGCGCAACGCCTCGCCCTGATCCTCGGCGGAGGCGAGAGCGCCTTGAGAGCGGTGGCGAGGACGTGGCTCGGGCAGGGACTCGTGACGGCGGACTCCCGCCCGCTGTTGGAGCCGTTCACGGTTCAGGTCGGGTACGGGACGGTGGTCGCGCAGGCCGCCGTCGAAGGCCGCGGGACTGGCGTCACGGACGGCCGGAGACGCCGATCGTCCACCCTGTCTGGCCACGACGACTCGGAGGACGATGACGACGACGACGAAGATGATAGTGATGGTGGGCACGGTGGCTTGGTGGTCAAGCCTCCGGTTGGGAGGAGGGAGGACAGCGGGCCGTCGGACGAAGACGGAGGGGTCGTTGAAGGGGGCGGGCGAGATCAGTCCGCGGCGGGCGAGACGGTAGCCGGCGTATTTCGAGTGGCCGTTTCCGAGGTGGAGCTGATGCTGTCGGGCGCAAAGCGAAAGGCCGAGGAGGTCGGAACGATCGAAGTCGAGGTGAGAGCGGCGGCCGCCACCGCCGCGTCGTTTTTGCTGGGTTCCCCTCGGTCGAGCTTTTGCCGATTTTGCTGTGTTTAATATCACATGCTTGTCGTACGAGACTCCGGAGAGTTTCCCCTCCTGGGTGGGGGAGCGAAAGCGCACGGCGATTTGGCTGTAAACTTTCAACCCTAATCCTAACGCCTCTCCTTGCTCTGACATAAAACCAACCCTTTGATGACACGCTTCTTTTTATCATGCAAATTATGTGTATGTCCGGCTATTTTTATGCTTAAGGGATGACTGTCTTGATTTTTTCCTTCCGCACATTCTGTCAAAACCTCGCACTTGGGCCGGCCTACTCTCACCCACCGGGCGGCGACCCTCGCCGAAAAACACGCCCCCTCTTCGAACCGGGGGCACCCGCTTTTCGCAGGTCGACGGCCAGACGCGGTCGTTCGGGGCGTCGGATGTCTTGCCGCCAACCCCGACAACCGCTGCTGCGGGCGAAGCAGCCGTTGTCGAGCTTGAGTTCGCTTGCCGTTGCCGCCTCCGTCGCCGCCGCCGCCGCGGCCGGAGAAGAAGACGAGAAGAAATCGCCGCCGATGGAGGAGGAGGAGGCGGCGGCGGTGGCGGCGGCGGCGGCACGCCCGGCGTCCCGGCTGACGCGACCGCTCTCGACTCCTCCTCCGGCGGCGAGCAAGACGGAGGGGGCCACCGCCGCTGGCAGCGGGGGGCCAGCGCCGGTGCCGGAGCCGGGGTCGATCCAGAAGAAGAGACAGACGGAGAAGAGGACGACGGGGTAGACGGGCCGCGTGACGCTGAACCGGAGGCCGCGGCGAAGGTGCGGCTCCTAACGGCGGAGGGCGAGGTGCTGGGAGAGGCGTTGGCGGAGCTGGCGGGTGCGCCGGACGACTGGGCGCGGTACCCGCTCTACTCTCCCGGTGGTGGCTCAGGAGGGGGGGACAGCGGTGCGGAGAGAAAAGGTGGCGGTAGAATTGGTTCGGGTGAGACATCGGCTGCTACTGCTGCTGCGGCGGCGGCCAATAGGCGCAAAGCTACGACGGGCCTGGACAGGGGGGGTGTGATCCCACGCCCCCCCGCGGCGGTACGCAGGCGTTGGGGCTGGGGCTACCGGCGGGACAGGGATGCGGCGACAACTCGGTCGTGGTTCCGCCCGAGACCGCCGTCGAGGGACGTCGCCGGTGAGGTGAGGCTTCGCCTGGGGTGGGTGCCGTCCGGCCTTGCCGTGACCGTTCACCGGTGCCGGGCGGGCGCAGCGGCGGCGATGTCGACGGCGTCGAGCGCGGGCTTAGTCGAAACGCCGCTGCTCGCGGGCAGCGGCCGGCGACGGCGGTCGATACTCGTTAGCGCCGAGCCCGGGGGCGGGACGGCTCGAGCCCACCCGGTAAGGGATGACAGCGGTGCTGAAGCACAGGATGTCTGGGGGTTGACCGCGGTTGATGCATCGAGCACCGGCGAAGGGCCGAGAGTAGCAGTCGCCACTAAACCAAAGAACTCGGCGCAAGACGATCGGCCGTCGTCCTCTGGTAGCCAAGAGGTTGTCCCCGCCGGCGGGGGCGGCGGCGGCGGCGGCCCGGGCCCGGACGCCGCCGGAGCCGAGGGCGAGAGTTCGGAGAGGCTCTTCTTTGTTCTCGATACCTCGTGCCTCTTGGGTGGGTGGAACGGTGACGGAGGCGGTGCTCGTCTCCTCTTGTCCGCAGCGGGCGAGGAAGAGGAGGAGGAGGAGGCTGCTGCCTGCTGGCAAGGCGACCCAGTCGCGAAGACTATCGGCGCCGCCTCTGGCGCAAGAGAGGAGGGACCAGGCGCCGCGACTGCCGAGCTGCTCCTTTTCTCGGGAGCAGAGCCGGCGCGTCGCTGGGTGCCGCTGACCGACCGGGCCGGCAGGGTGACGGAGGAGGTGGACGTCACGATCGCGTGGGCAGTGGCGGCGGCGCCGCCACCACCACCGTTGTCGCCCACCCGCCGCCCTTCTTCTTCCAGCGCGACAGCGGGTGAAGCTGTCGGGGAAGAACCCACGGCGGCGGATGCTTCGCCGGAAGCGCTCGTAGTCCCTGGCAAGGAAACAGCGGGCGGCGGCGGCGGCGGCGGCCACAAAGAGGGTGGCGGTCTCGACACGAGATCAGCAGCAGCCGACCGAGAAAAAACGGACAAGGCGACGGCAGCGGCGGCGGCGGCGGCGGCGGCGGGGTTAGCAAGCGCCGACGAGAGCAGGGGGGGCGAACCGTTCCTGGAGCCGACTCAGGTCGTGTCCCGGTGCTTCTCGATGCACACGTCTGATCTGGTGTTTCGGGTCTCGGACCTTGATATGGCTGTGCTGGTCACCATGGCTAAAGGCATCGTGCGGGTGCGTGATCTAATTTTGTTGGTTTTGGTTTTTTGTACGGTGGTTGGGGTTGGTTGTCATGTTTTGGGTTGTTTTTTGGCAAGGTTTGGTCCATGTTTTTTTGTGTGCTTTCGGCTGCTCGATGTCCATCCACTGGGCGACCGACGATCTCGATGTCGACCATCGTGTTTCAATACAAGGCTGAGCCGCCACAGCTTGGAATGTTTTGGGTGGACGTTTGGATCTTCGAGTGAGTAGCATTCCACTACCCGCTCACCAACGAAAACAGGGGCCAATTATCCGTAAACAAACGGTTCATCAACGAACGTTTTCTAGTCCGCGTCGCCCCCCACCCGATCAGGTGTGCTTTTGCGTGCCATGCGTTGCTCCAATGCACTTGTTGACCCCGATTTTGCGATCCCCTGTTTGGCGAGCAACCACACAAGATCGGGTGGCACCGCTGCACCTCGACCAATAGCCGCTATACAAGAGCGACCTACCGCGAATAGCAACCAGGTTCCCTCGTAATACTAGGGGTCGCTAAACACGGGCCCACCACCACTGTATTCTATGTCTCGCGTTGAAACATGTGTTGTGTGTGTGTGTTCGTCTCATCTATTCTGGCGCCAGTCTACCTGCCTTTGGGTGTGTATATCTGACATATCAGCGGGGGTCACAAAAGAGGAAGGTCACACAGGGGCTCTTTGCATTTTTTCGTTTATTTTAGTTCCCCACCTTCTCGTGATCCTCGTTTTTCCATCGCCGCCCATTTCCTTCGTCCAATCGGTACAGATCCTGAGGCCGCCGAAGAGCAAGGAGGAGAAGGAGCTGGAGATGGAAGCCGTCCAACAGAGGCTTCTGGAGGAGGCCAACAGCAAGAGGAATGCCGCAATTCAGCAGCTCCGCGCCACCTTCCAAAGTGCGTGTGCCGTGCGTGATGCTGATAAAGTTTTGCGTTATTTTTTCTTTTTCTCTTGACACGCTTCGCCTCCCCGGCCCCGCTGCCGCTACACCTCGTTGCCTTGGGAGCATACCTTCTGCTTGGTGCGAACAATCGCTGCTGTCTCTGTCTTGGCTGTCTCACAAAGGGTAGTTAAGCTGTTTTGGCAAAGCCTCGTGCTGGTGTGGTTTTATGCGATGTTGTGTTAGCTGCGCGTTTTTGCGATGACCCCCTCCTTGTTGTAAGTCGTGTGAGTTGCACCTCGTGCGCTATTTCAGCAGTACTGCTACCGGCGGACCACATGTTCTCACGCGCAATAAAGACGGGCGGGAAAGCGGCAGGCAGGGAAGGTCTCTCGTAAAGTGGATCCGTCCAAAGGCCGGGTCCTTGAAGAAGTCAGCCCCACGCAAGCACAGTTCCAGGGGCCACGACGGCAGTCATTGTCCTTTTTTTAAGCCGCCGCCTCCGCCGTTGTAACCGCCGATCCACCGATTGCAAACAGGCCTCTAACGCTTTTTGTGTCCAACATATACATTGGCTCTGGCAGCACTCCGTATAGGCAAACATAGACCCGTCCAAGTTCTACACGGGAGCCGTAGGCGCCGCCGAGACCCGAACCCGTGATTTCCCTTCCGCGAGTGATTTTCGAACCATTATGACGCTATGCTGGCTCGCGTGCTTCTTGTGGCCTGATAAAAGTGTCCAGACTGAGGTTTTCTGGTGACGTATGGGCATCCGCAAGCAGCAATTGAGTAAACATGCCTCTTGCGCCAGCCAGCTGCTAAAGAAACAGGGAGGGTACGTACAGTGTCCCACCAGAGTGACCGTCACTATTCAGAGAATGAGACAGCTTGACAAAGTCCATCCTTGCCCCGCGATTTCACCGGCACTATACATAGCGGCATTGTTCAACTGGCACTGGTGACGGGCCCTTCGGGCAACTAGCAATCGTTGTTATTGTGCTTCGGGCGTGCCGCCCGGTGTGTCCGCTCCGCGTTGTTTCCCTCCCTCCCTCCTCAGGCGGGGACCACCACAATCAAGGCGGGGCGGACGGTCCGAGAGCCTCCTTCGACGGCGATGCGCATCGCGAGGAGCTGCTGAACGTGAGGGACGTGGTGGAGCTGCTGAGGGACTTCCTTCGAGCCAAGGCCCTGACGGAGAGCGAAGTCAGCCGCGAGGTCCGTGCGTGCGCGCGCGGGTGTTTTGCTTGCGTTAATTTACGTATTATTAGCAGCGTCGACCGCGCTTATGGGCTGACCAATGAAAATACGTCAGTCTCAGAAATGCTTGTAAAGGCCGTGATCTGGGACCCCCTGAGGGGGCGTCATGGGGGGAGTTTGTGTATGGCTCTGGGGCTGACTGCTGTGTGTCCTGTTTCCGAAAGAGGGTTTGGGTTGGGTTTGCACGTGTGTATGGGGGGGAGGGGGCGTACATGGAGCTTTCGTTGTGTTCGGTTTGTTTTAGGGCTGCAGTACGGCAGGACCCCCAGCGCTCACATAGGGTGTTTGGAGAGAGACGTTGCTTCTGTCCATGCACATTTGCTTTGTAGGGTTGACGAAAAACCAAGCCTTCTACCTAGAAGTCGAAGAGCCCCGCTTCCGTCCCCGTGCGTGGTGTTTGGTCGCTCTCTCAGGCGGAGGAGTTCATGCTGGTCATTCTGGCGGTGGAGGATGAGGCGAAACGACGCACGCCGGTGCGAACGCGGGCTCGAAGCGCGTCTCCGACCAGTCGGCGACGCGCATCTGAAGGTATGTACAGTACCACTCCGTGCGTCTTTGTTTTTTTTCTCTTTGCTCCTGCGTGACCCCGCCTGGAACGTCAAACATTGAGTGTACACCGAAAGGTGTGTGTAGTAGACTGGTGTCGGAGTAAATGGGACGAACGCACACGCAATTATCCCATCTACCTCCACCGCCTACAACAGGGTTGTTTTACTCCACCACACTGCTGCCTCGTGCTCTGTGTATGTGTATCTCGGTCAGGACCTAATACGCGGGGTTATCTGACACAGATCCTCGGCGACGTGTGCACTTCAACCTTGCTAGCGCTGAACCGGTTCATCCATACTCGTTTCCTGGTGAACAAGTCTGCTCTATTATTACTACCGGACGAGCATTGCTGGTGATCAATAGCAGTGCATGGCCAGGACATAACTAATCAAAGGCCTTCACATTTCCAAACGTTTCGGGGGTGTACTTGCCTAGTCTTGCACCGCGAGAGAAACATTTTCGGCGCCATTCTGGTAGAGCCGGGGGTCCCGCAGAATGCATCCCCGTGCGGTTCCAATAAGGATAGACGAGCGTCGGTGCTGCTGTTGTGAGCCGTTGGTGCCGCCGGGTGTCTGTAAAGGCGGATAACCTACAGTACCACATGGTTGTACACCTTTTTTTTTTTCTTCCAGAATCGCAGAGGAGGCCTCTCGTGTCTTGATGAAGCGGCCAGCAAATGCTATGTTGTACCCGTTCGGCTTTTCGGTTCTCTTCTTCCTTTCACCCAAACCCTTCCGTACGTTGTATCCGTCGTCCTCGTCCTCTGCTGCGAACGAAACACCAACCCCGCGTCGTTCGTAGGGTCGCCCTCAACACCGTCGCGAGTCCCCGCCGACGACCTCAGCGATCTCGCCGCCCCCGGCACCCCCAGCACCGCCGGCTTCGGCGGCGACATAGATTCCAGTTCCTTCAGCGTCAGGAAGCGGTGGCGGACCAGGCTGCGCCCTGATTGGCGGGGGGGCGGGCGCAGCGCGGCGAGGAACAGCTCCCACGAGAAGCCGTGGTCGCCGGCGGCAGCGCCGGCGGCGGCAGCGCCGGCCGGGGGCCCCGTGAAATCAAGCGCCACGGCGGTGGACACGCCTCCTCCACCACCGTCTTCTTCTTCTCCCGCCTCCTCCATGCCAGAGGAAAGCATCGAGGGGTTCATTTGTCCGCAGTGCCGCATGAAGCTTGCGTCGCCCGCCGCCCTTCTCGCCCACTTTCACGTGTTCCACGGCAGCGGGGGGGGGACCGCAAGCGAGAGGGGCCGAGCGGACGGGGAGAGGGGGGGTGCGGGCGGCTCAGAGGGGTCCAGCGACGAGGGCAGTGGGGGGGGCGGGGGCGGCGGCGGCGGGGGGGGGAATTTGTATTCCAGCGGGAGGCGGAACAAGAGGAGGAGCGGCAGGGGGACCCCCCGCCGCAACA